AAAAAAAAAGAAAGAGGGCAACTAGAAGACATTTCACGAAGCTTCATACAATAGAGATATTTGTTTGAAAGTGAATAGCATACAGAAGCTGGGCTCACAGGCTTATAAGAGACAGAGGTAAAACTTTCAATATGAAAGAAAAATGATGGAATGGTGGAAGGCCGGTAGTGTATTTTCTTGAACATTAAAAAAAAAAAAAATTTATGGCAAAGTAAATAACACAGAGGAGACAAGCTTTAAAAGTAGTATAAGGCAAGGAATGTGATTAAAACATCAGACCAAATCAATTATCATTTCCATAAGTAGGACTTTACATTTATAGGACTGCTGGAGTGGCACAGGACAGTTGTTGGGGCAAGGGGGCAATTGTGAATATGTGAGATGGGGAAAGCCATGTGATGACTTTTTCATTGTACTTTGGGATATGCATTGTACTTTGATAGATGCTGGTGTGGAACTTTTCCAATTAATGGAGCTCCCACACTAATTATACCACAGTGATCATTGATTCATTTTGCAGTCAATGGACAGAGGCACCTCCAAAGCACTATCTATCCTAAATCAGGACAGCAAAGTCATGAGATTAAGGGTTTTTACCTCAACCAGTAAGATAAACATTTTGCCATAACATTATGCAGTAGTTGGATGGTGAATACCAATAGTTAGATAGTGAATGTAGAGTTTACTGCAGCACTGCCAAAAGACTCCACACTATGTTAAAATCTTCTTATGCAGGTGCTGTAAAATGAAGCCCTTTACACAGTCTTGTATCTTTCTGAGCATGCATCATGCATCTCACTTGGAGACATCTGAAGCGGGAGCCTTGAGGACCAGAAGCTTTATGAGGTGAACCACAAAGAGCTTTTGAAATGTTTTTAAGTGGACTGAATTGTGTCCCAAGATGTTCACAGACCTTGTTTCTTCTCCATTTAATGGTATAAATTTCAGGAACTGTTTTTCTGTTTGTTAATGTAGGTAACGTGAACTGCTGCAAAACAAATTGCATTAAATACTTTTGTATATCATATCAGATGAAAAATCAAATTAAAATTACTTATTTGCCATGAAAAAAAAAATATCATGAGGAAGAAAATTATTTTTAAATGAATGTTTTTTATGAGTGCTGTCAGTTTAGAACTGATGTATACAGATTTATTATCTAAAGTTGTCTTTTTCTAAAAAGAAATTGCTCTAAGCAGTCTGAGAGTGTCTATGAATAAGTACTTGCAGCTGAAGAAGAGTTTAATACACATGGAAAGAATGTATCTCTAAGTATCTCCAAGGACAAATCCCTATTTTTACACATTTTATTTTTTCCTGCCTCAAGTAAAAAAGATTTGCTCGGGCAAATTAGAATTTTCATATTTAATTGTTTTGGTGCTTTTAAAATTAAACTCAGGACAAGGTAATTTCCTATGAAGCATTGGACTTAGGTCCAGTTTACTGCTTTTTAAGAAAGAGATTGTATCACCTGGATCTGTCCTGTCATCTGGGGAGGCATCAGAAGTGTGGTTGGAAGCTGTTGTTGCCCTTATCACTGGACTACCTCAGCATGATAGTTTGAATTGATTAAACATTGCTGTCTTCTGTGAATTAGGATATTATTGCCCTTTCCTCTGAGCTGGCAAATATGCCAGAGTAAGTGACTTGGCAGAGAGGACCTAAGAATTCTGTACAAGTAGTAGAAAACAGACACATGCCTCCTTAAGCCTATTTAGTTGCTTACCAAATAAGCTCATTAAACACCCACCCCCCATCTCCCCCTTCTCCACTTTATTTGTGTTCAGGTGTCTCAGTAACGTTCCTAGAGAAAAGCTTTGAACTCTGCTGAAGTTGTGGTTATATGTCACATAATTCCTAGAACCCAGAAGCAAAGATATAATCTTACAAAATTGGGTAATTTTGGAGGATACCTGCTATTTGATACTATATCTATGAAAAAGAAAGCCAAGCCTAACTACCAAGGTAAAGGACAAGCATGAAGTACAGGGCCACCACACTGGAAACCCTTGCAGTTAATCCAGCAGGAAGCAGACATTGTCATCTTTTTGTCATGGTTCTTTTTGATAGTTAAATTTCTCAGCTGCTTTGTATGTCAGTTTTCGAAAGAATATTTCAATTCTGGTCTGGTCTCTCTCTTCCCATCAAAGCTTCTCGCCCAACACATTCCCATCTCAACATTCTCTCTGCCTACACACGCATTACAAGGTCTCCTTCAGTGGTAGGATGCATTGCCAATGATCTGTTCCCTCATCTGTCTGTCTACGCAAGGGCTTTTGTTGCTGCAAACACTTTTTGGTTTTTTAAGCAAATTCCTGTGTCAAGGTGGGACTAAGAAGTAGATTTAATTCTGGATGTCCATATACAGTAGAAGATAATCTGAATCTTGGCTGCTGTTCTTTAGCAGTACTGGACATTCTTTAGTATTCCAGATATATTTGGACATTGACCTCTGTTGCTTTAGTTAATCTGTACTAATGAAAATTACTGTAAAAGCTTCGCAGCAAAAACTATCACTAGTAGATTTAAGAGAGGGGAGCTTTCAGTTCAGTTCAGTGTTGCTAATAAAATCAGTAATACAAGAAATTAAAAGAAATTAGGTCTTCTCCATGAAGAGGCTTTAGTGCAACTAGCATAGTTACAGTAAGGTGCTGCAGCCATTGTCAAAAGTTGTTTAAAATAAGATTAGATCATATCATTGTACCATTTTCAGTTGGCAAGTTGTAACTTTGTTTTATGAATGCTGTTTAATATACAAATTTCATTGGAACTTGAAGGAGACAGTAATACTTGTGATGATTTAAGATTAGAAGTATTTGGATAAACGTGGATGCTAGTTATAATGAATCTGAATTGTCACCTGAGATTACATAATCTGATTTATCATTTCACTGAAGAATTGCAGGTAACAGTTTACAATATATTTTCATATGTGGTCTTGTCATTGTTTCCTTTAGTAAATAATCCCTCTCTGCATAGCAGAAAAAAAAAAAAGTTTTATTTTTTCTTAAGGACATGTAAGGTTTATGGAAAATAGTTATTTTCTATGTAGAAGAACTGCTATTGTTTGCTCATTCCCTTTGATCAAGTATGGACAGTTATGATCTTCATGTACTTATTTATATTTAATGCATTTTGTTTCTCCTTCATGTTCTAGAGTTGCTAGAGTAACTGCATTTGTGAAATCTTTCAGTTAATTTAATATCCATTTGCCAAAGTTAATAAAAGCACTCAAAAAAATTGCTTCTTTGTCAACCTATTCTAATGATGATGGTGACTAGACAGGTCATGTCTCAGCTTCCAGAATCAGAGGGAGACATGAAAGGATTCTGGTAGGAAAGTATAATTACTGTGTAAGTGTTTTTGCAGAAGTGTTTTTGCATAAGTATTTTCACATAGATTTCCCAAACAATTCTTCAAAACTTTACTGTTAAAATTTAATGGCTTGTTTAACGAATATTTTCTGTTCCAGCAGTCATGAGCTAGGTAGCTATTTTCTCTGCTCAAAGTGGCAGTCTGCTTGACACAGGAGATCCTTTTTTCTCGATGCACGATCACAGAGAGCACCGCAGGCAAATGAAGGCATTGTCACTTTCCATCCCCCTGCTACGCATTGTGGTGCAAAGGCAAAGTTGCACCTTATTTTCCTCTCTCACTCAGGCCTGTAGCCTTTTTGTCAAGGGCAGGGAAGTACATCCAAATTTATTTTCTGATGCAGACTCCTGCTGTCTGAAATCTAGGTCTACGCCTTGTGACCTTCCTCCACGTGCCTTCTCTCTGCTCCTCAGCAGCAGCCCTGCTCGGTGCCGCGCTGCGAGGCTGCGTGGGGGCTGCTGAGAGGCACATGGCACTGGGCTGGAGCTGCTGTTAGAAACCTTTCTTACGCAAGAGCTCCAGAGTCAGTGCACTGCCTATTTAAAAATAACATATTCCTCCAGGAATGCTGAGTTATTCAGCAGTGATCCAGCAGTGTCTCCTAGGAGAGGGAAATAGCTGCCTGAGGTCAGAGCAGAGGTCCCGCTCCTGGCAGTGGACAGCAGTGAGTGTCCAAGGCACGGCGTGAAGGCAGGGACATCACAGAGGTGACCTTCCGAGGTGGGAGGTTATTTCTTTCTTCCTGCTCCATTCACAGCAGTAAGTTAGCAGCTAGTACAGGTAGGAATCAGCTCTCCTTCATGTGGTAGCAGGGGCAGAGGGAGTTAACGCAAAGTAATGAGAAGCAGAACATGAAGCAGGAGAAATATAGCTTAAGTATCAGAGAAACTACTTAGCAGTAAGCTGTATTACAGAATCAGGCAGATTCCCAAGGAGAGATGATGGATTTGTGCTGCTTGTGGCATTTAAAAGTGAGCTGCGCAGAGCACATTAAATACATTAAAAGGGATCTTGCTGTCTCTATCAGAATGGCAGATCAGATTAATATCTCTAGATAAAAATGTGTTGCTGTCAGGACAAATATTTAAATAATTTCCAGAATAGCTCAAATAAACACAACAGAAACTAAATCCCTTTTCTTTAAAATTGTAAGAAAAAAATTTAATATGCTTTTCTTGTTTGTCTTGCAGAAATTACCTTCCTTCTGTGAACCACAGTTGCATATTTTAACTTTTTCCACTTGTTTAGTGTTATATGCTTCGTTTAATAATCTGTATTTAAGTAGATGCTGAAATGCACACTTTTCATATATATAAATATGCATATATATTTTTAGATAACTAGGTGACTGAAAACATGTTGCATCATTTAATTTAACAAAACAAAATTCCTGTGTGCTTATTCTAGGCAATACTAAGTGGCATGTACGTGGGAGTAACATACTGTTCAGTTTAAGTAAGAATTTAATAACCTGGGCTTTCATTTTAACCACTTGAATAGACCTGCCTTCTGTCTTTTAATGAATACTTTGTCCAGAATATCATACACACTCTACTGAATTAAATTCTCCATAGTCTGGAGCACTTACTTTCAAAAATATTTAATATGCAGCTGCCTGCTAACATACATTTCAAATCTCCATGTGAAGCTTCATGACATCATACAATTTTGCCATTTAGGACTGTTTAAAGCTTCAGGCACTTAGGTAACTTAATTTTTATATGAGGGAAGAAATAGATTTAGGTATTCAGAAGAAGATGAAGTCAGAGAGTGCTGTGCCAGGTGTTTCGGCTGTAGAAAAGCTTAAAGCATGGAAGGAGCAATGTAGCAGCAAAGCAGACCTGCTGAATAATTCATCACTGTCTTACACACTTCTGCTGCTGTACCATTATTTAGGAAAGAATATTATATTGTTATTGATTACAGCTGTTGCTGACACGTTTCATTTGCTGGGAGATGTGTGTGCATGCTTTGTATTTCCGACACTTTCACCATCACCAGAGAAACTTATGTATGAGCTCGATTAAAATTTAAGAGGCTGGATGTTATACATACGTGTACACACATACTCAGCATTTATCCCTAACACTCCTGGTTTGGGCAGGGTGAGCTTGCTTCATGTGTCAGAGGAGCAGCTTTCCCACAGATAGAGATTTTGAAGCGATGAGAAGCATTTCTTAAGGGAGTACAAGTAACTTTGCCTTTACCAAAATACCACTGGGAGATTGACTCCTTCGTTACACCAACCCACCGCCGCACGCAGCCATGGGAGCACATCCCAAAGGACCTTGGCGCATCCTCTGCCATGAGAGGAGGCTCTGGTGTGCTGTGATCACGGACAGACCCATTTACACAAGCCAAACCCCAAGGGTGCCCTTTCCTTAGGCTGCTGCAGTTGCTGGTACAAATGAACTTTTTGCCTGAAGTTGGCTAAAGGCCAGAGGAACTTGATGGCTGTTGCAGCTGGTTGTACATCTTATTTGAACAAGGAAATGCAATCCTGTTCCTCACATACCTGGAAACCAATACATGTGTATATATTCGTGTGTATGTACAAGATTGAGAGAGATAAGAGAGAATTTAGTATCAGTTTGAACTATAGATTGAAATGTATATAGATATATGCCATTATTTGTGCTTTCAGATTTACACTGGAGCCTTGTGAGACATTTTTAGACTTCTGATGATTTTTAGACCTCTGAAACAGTGAAGAATATTTTCCTCTGTTAAGGAGAGGGAAAGTCAAGAAATCAACCAGATTTTCTTTTCTGATTTATTTGGTTGGTTGGTTAAGCAGCACCTGGTATAGATGAAAAAGATATTGTGACAAAATCTATATTGTCTGGAAAGAGCATTGGGAAGATTCCAAGTGGTTGTGTTGAGCTTTGTCTTAAATGTTGAGCTTGTAGGGGATTCTGCAACAAATTCTGAACAGCACAGAAGGCTGACAGAAAATAAACTGAATCCTGGAGAAAATGCTTTCCTTACCTATCCTTGCATGTCCAAATCCATTAAAAAATAAAAAAGAAGTATAAACAAAATCCAAGGAACCCTGAATGCTTTAGCAAAAGAATAATCAGATTTCCTTCCCTTGATTGAAAATCTACTTGGTGGAAATAAAGTTCACTTTATACCAGACTTAGTCCCCAGTAAGATATTGATCTGTTGAAGTCAATGGGTGCTATTCCAATGATTTCAGAGTAAGGGCTCACTCCCAATGGCCAGTTTTCTCAGGTGGCAAACAGTGATTAGATTCATAAATATCTGCTTCTGCTCAGATTTTGGAAGAGCCAGTTCACACTTAGAAGGTCCAGAAGCTTAGCAGATTACATGATCCCCCAGTATATCAGTTGTATATACAAAGCATATCCCTGTTGGAGATACACAAGCTGATTTGGCAAAGCTTGAATGCCTTTAACTCTCTAAATACTAGATGAGGATTGCTTGATAGACTATTCCATAATATGACTAGAAAGTGTTACTTACAGGTTTGTTCTTGTTCTCTCTCTTTCTTGCTTTCTTGGCCTAGAAGAGAATTTTTTTTTTTTTTTACTCCTTACAATGTATATGACAAAACTGATTTTTAAATAGATTTCTTGTCACCTTTGCAGGGATTCTGTATGGATATTGGATCAATATCTGAATAGAAATTTGTGAATACATCTTTAAAAATCATTCTTCAAAATTTCGGCCTTTACTATGGCAAAAATGGGTGACTGCTGCAGATTTAAAAATAGGTTCTTAAAGGCTTTGATGCTTTTGCATCAAAGACATCTCTTACTTCTACTATTTAGTTATTGTGATTTACCTAATGGAAATCCATACATAGATTTAGTCATTGTTTAGATTCTTGGCAGCTAGTAAAACGAAAAGCAATAAATCTCTGAAACTTATCAAGAATGTTAAAAGCTACAGCTTATCATTATTTATTGTCTAGAGATTTTGGTATATCTGATTAATTTTCAAGATATGTTCCAAGAAAAAAAAAAAACACCAAAGAATGCAATGTATCTTTTACAGAATGCTCAGCAAAACTCGCAATAATATGGTAGTGATTAGTGCAGAGCAATGCTTGCAGCAGTCATATAGTGCCAGTGATTATACTTCAGATCCACTATAAAAGCAAGCTGTTCCTGATGTGCTCCTCAAATGTAGGACAAAATGTTCTCCATTAGTCTGTTGCCACTTAACATCTTTCTCTACGTCATGTCTTGATTTTTTTCTCATGCCATCTGCAGAAAAAACATGTCTCTCAACCTTCTAGATCCTGAGATGGCAATATTCAGAGCTGTAAGAGGAATTAGGCTGTGTAAGGAGTGAATCTTGTCATGGTGGCTTGCAGAGGCTTTTAAAAATATACAAAGAAGAAAGCTGACAGGTTTTTTTGATTTTTATCTTCAGTAAAAATAATTCACGTATAAAATCATATATAAAATTCACATTTAAAATTTAAATATAAATAAGTCTGTGGTTTTAATATATTTTTTCTGCCAAAATCTATGAACATTTACCTTTATTCTCAACCTTTGTTATTAAGATTCAGAGCAATGTGAGAGTAGAATGCATTGTAGACCAGCTGAATGAACCTTTTCTTTCTCTAGAAATGAAAATATTTCATAAATATTTACACATAAATATGTAGTCATTGTCAAACATGCTCATGTGTATGTATATACACCTTGTATTACATGAAGAGGGCTCCCACTACATAGAGAGCATTGTGGACTATTGTGACAATCTGCTTGTGTCCCCTTGCCAGTGTGGCCCCTGAAGAAGAATGATGATGATATGAGCCTGGATCCAGGTGTTCTACTGGACTGACTGTGGTGCTGTGCATTTCACAATCCCTGGCTGGCTCTTGTGGCTGCCTGGTACATTTTCAGCTGCTTTTATAAGAGGTGAAGAAAGAGCAGGAGTGTGTTTCTTCTGTGGGGCAGCACTGGGACCTCTCAGGACTTGTTGGTGATGAACATGGAGTGGCAAAAGTGCAGAAAAAAAAAATTAAGTAATACACCTAAATTCACTGAGCTTTGCAGATAGAGGAGCACTTGTGACCTAGTGACACAGTGAATGGTGGCTATTTTTAGTACATACATTGCTTCCTGACATGATAATGCTGTCTGTGCTCTAAAAACTAATGCCAAGAAGCTCATGGAATTATTCCACCTGTGAGAAAAAAGGCTGGTTTGGAAAAAAATTTGAAGTTTTAGTGGGGCTCAAAACTGCCCTCTGTGATACACTGACAAACTTGAGGCTTCTCAGTAAATTGTAAATGTTGTGATTGTAAGGAAGCACCTATGGACAAAGAGGCGTGGAAGCTAGGAAATGGAATATCTTTACCTTCTGTTGACAGAGGGCAAAAAATAATGGAGGATGCAACTAAGGATCTCATGACAGGCTGAGACATCATATGATGGGATATGTTGAAGCCTGTGAAAACTGGTGGAGCTGTGGTCTGAAGGCATGTCTCACCAGTGTCCATGTGTCATGTGGCAGATATCTGAGACTTCTAACACATAGAGTGTTCTCCTCCTTTGGTTCTTTTTCTCCATTTCAAGCATGCTTCCTTTCCCACTCCCATGAGGCTTCAGTTTTGATTTTCTTTTTACAATGAACTTCTTCTTTTGCTTAACAGTGAATTTGATTAACAGGTGCTCAAATACTCTCCAACTTCCACTCCAGGTATGGAGTTTTTGATGTTGGCTTTGGTTTGTTTAGTTGCTTAGTTTTGGTTTTGGGGTTGTTTGGTTTTGTTTTTGTTTTATTTGGTTTTATTTTGTTTGGTTTTTTTTGGTTTGGTTTGGTTTTGTATGTTTGGTTTGTTTTGGTTTGGTTTTTTTTTGTTGTTGTTGTTGTTGTTGCATCTTTCACACTGGATTTTTAATCTGTGAGTTTTTATCACTGCTGCTTTTTGCAACTCTCACTGGCATCACCATTTTCTTTTTTCCTATTCTATTTTGCTTTTTATGCTATATTTCATTCAGTAGTGGAAGGGAGATTGGCAGGTATTTTGTGTCAAAAATTGAACGGTTGGAAACAAAGGGTTTTACAGAAGCAGAAAGAATTATTTATTGTGGGGAAAAAAAAATCTCAGTGATCTTTTAAAATTAATTGAAATACCTTCAGTACTGGAAACACAAATATCAAAACGTTGTTGAAGAGCTTAGCCTAAAGCAGACTGATGCCAATACAGGGATCACAAGTGACTTATAGTCAATTGGCATTAAAGCTGATTGAAATCTGTGACACTTCTGTGAAAAAGATGCCCCTCTCTCTGGGATTAACTAGCCTTAGTTTATATTTACAGTGTGAATACAGCTGCTGTTGCCATAGGATATGATTGCTTTTCATATTCTGCGATGTACTCTGTCATGTACTGTACTATATTATGTAGCATGGTTTTAAAGATTTTTCTGTTTTCCATCTTCTAGTTAAGAACTGAGACACACACTCGTTCTATGGCTTGCTCGGGGTAAGATGTGGATGTCTGTTTCAGAGAAAGGACTTGAATTTCAAGCTTGTGAGTCAGTGCCTTAGCACTCAAACAGTTGCTACTCTCTGACACCTGTCTAGTAATCAAAGACCAAAAAAGTGAAGGGTAAAATGTCTATAGTATACCAAAGTTTATACTGAATAAGAAAGAGAGGGAAAGAATTAACCTATAAAAGGCTATCCTCTAAAATATTCTTATACTATTGAAACTGGGCCACTTGGGCACCCAGGGATTCAAGATTCATGGATTTAGTACAGCAAACATGAAGGTGCTTGGTTGTATATCCCTGTAGCTGAACAACTCACCAGGGATACAGGAGTCTTAGAGATCTGCTCATTTCACTATTCATGCATTTTATATTAGAAAGTTGTCAGGTAAAGGAAAAGAAAGGAAGAATAATGGAAATGAAATCACCCCCTCCTCTCCCTGAAATAGGCTCAATTTAAATTTTAGGCATAAATATAAAGTTTATTTTGTGTTATTCTCATGGAAAGTAGATATCTAAAACTGCTTGAATGAGGTATTGCAGGCATGCTCAGAAAAAATGCCTGGAACATGGTGTGCTATGAACCCATAAAATAGATAAACTTGATCAATTTCTTCATTTTTAATTCTTTATGCAAATATTTTCTTTTGCATTTGTTTTAAAGAATACTATTTGTTCTTGCTGAGCATAAAAGAAGTACAGTTATATAATGTAAATGACAACTGTCTAAAATTTACCATGTCCCCCTGAAAAGGATGAATAATGTGTGTAAAGAAAATATGTGCTCTGCAATAATATTATCTCTTTAATTAACATCATATCAATATGAGAACACTTCAGCATGTGTCTTCATGGATATGATTCCCACAGAACTGTAGAGAAGAAATGTTATAGCTTTGAATTCCTCTGTCTTATGATAAAATATTTCTGGAATAAAACTGAATTGGTTGAAAGCCTCTTCGCTTTCTTTCCACCGTCTTCTATATCCATGTATACCTGTAAGGTGGTTTTTTTCCTATTTTATTGTGGTTACTCCTTTAACAATTTTCAGCAAATATTCCTTTGCCAGTATTCTTGACAAGTTTTATTGCTACACTTCAACATCCTCCTCCACTTAGGGGTAGAATAATGTCAGTCATCTTGCTCTAAAAAATAAATAAGGTAAATGTCATTTCTTTTCTTATTTTTCCTTTGGCAACATGCTTTTGTCTGTTTTCACTGTGGAAAAACATCTTTTTTTTTTTTTTTTTTTTTTGGGTGGCCTTTTTTGGGAAGTTTTTATAAAGAATACAGCATCATGGATTTTAAGATTTGGACAAGAAACAGCATCATCTTGATGGACACAGTGAAGTTTTAAGCAGTGACTTGAGTAGATATGCTGCCCATTTACATGACTCTGTAATTTTAAAAGTTGCAAAATATTTTTTAATGTCTGTTTCAAGACTAGTAAATAGGATCATTGAATCATAGTATTGCTTATATTGGAAAAGGGCTTAAAAACTAGAAAGTCCAACCATTAACCTAACACCCCCAAATCCACCACCAAATCACATTTTTAATCACCACATCCACATCTCTTTTAAGTATCTCCAGGGTTGATGATTCCACCATTTCCCTGGGCAGCCTGTTTCAATGCTTGGCAACCCTTACAGTGAAGAAATGTTTCCCTATACCAAATCTAAACCTTCAGTGGACCACCTTGAGTCTGTTTCTTCTTGTCCTATCACTTATTTATTGTTATCTAGGACAAGAGACCAACACTCACCTCACTACAACCTCCTTTAAGGTAGTTGTAGAGAGACACAAAATAAAAATAAATAAAAGAGCAAAAGTCTGTTATTTAGATCAGAGAACAAGCAGTATGTCATAGTTCACATTCATGCAGCTAGGTGGTCCTAAAGGCAAGATGCCCAGTGTCTTGCACTTTGGGGACTGTCTCCATTCTTAGATAACCCCTGAGCTACACCACAGTATTTTCTAAGACAGCAGTAGCTGCCTTAAAACTGTCAAGGACTGTGCCTCTAAACATCCTGACAGTGCCCTACTCCTACTCCTGTTTAGTTTACAAAGCTGGATGAACCCTTGATTTTTATAGTTCAGTGACACTGTAAGAAGGAACACTGAATACTGAGAAATAAACTATATATATTATTACAGTTTTCTGCCCACTACACTGAACCTCAGCAGTATCCTACTTCCATAGTGGTTTGTATTT